TATTTTCATCACAATTGTTTGATGTTGTTTTTTTCAGGCAGCTTTTTCTCTCTGTGGTGCTTTTGTTAATTCACCAATTGCAGTGATCATTGTTCGTTTTTGTGTTGGCAATGGAATAGCTTCTACTATGGTATCACACTATGCGCTGTCCATTGAGCTCGTTGGACCAACAAAAAGAACCTTTGCTGGTGTGGCCACTGGGCTTTTCTGGAATGTCGGAGGAGCAATAGATGTAACGATTGCATACCTCCTCCCTTACTGGCGACACACAGTCATTGCTGGTTCTATACCTGGATTCCTCTTCCTGCCATTCTACCTGTAAGTGTTGCCGCTCGGGTTTGTTTGTAGGCTGGTAATGATTCAAGCAACCCAGTCGGTGTTTTAAATTCACAATAGTGTTAAACATTTATAGTATTAGGGACTGTGTAATAATTACCAGGAGGGGGGCCGTAAAACCAGAGGGGGGCATAACATAAAATTGATGGGAAGGTAGGGGGGTTCAAAGTAAAATTACCTAATAAACAGAGGGGGGGGTCTTAAGTTTCATTCAAAATTTTCATAATTTTCGATGTCTGTCAAAATGCTGGAAATCGCTTTTCCAAGAGTTATTTATTTCAAATTTTCTGGTGGAGGTCCTGACTCCCTTAATACTCTCGCCTTTGGCGGTTGATAGACCCCCAGATCCAAAATATGTGTCGCGGTCGCTGACATGTGCATAAAATTAAGTCCACGCTACGCGCCTGACTAATGGAAATCTAAATTCCAAAAGACTCGTTGATGTGGGATTGAAATTGACCAAGATATGAATGTTTTTTTCAACTATTGATTTTTTCAATTTTGTCACATAAATTGAGGATGTAGTTTTCACATAAATTGAAGATGTAGAAACTGAAAAACATATTGATGATTTCTTAGACATAACTAGCACAAGTAATAACAAAGTCGTTTTTGACCATAAAAACGTTACATAAGCCTTTTTTGGACCTTGAAAACCTGAGGAACAAAATTATTTGAAAGAAGCAAGGGCGCCATATTTGCTTGTGACGGATTTTCAACAATGTAGTCCCAGCATGGAACAAATTCATACAAGTTATTTAGCAGGACAGACCCCGTCAGCTCCTCCTGGAAGTTTCTGTCTTTACACACTTAGGTCAAGATGAGTAAGCCATCTCTTGCATCTGGGTTAGTCTGTAGTGAATTTTGCGTTGCTACAGTTGACTCGACTCGACTCGCTTGTGCTTGTTTTATAACTAAAGTTATAGTTAGGGGGGTTCGATGTTATTTCTAATATAGCAGAGGGGGGGATAAGAGCTATTNATTACCATGATTTAATGAGCTCAATCATAATTTCATAATCTAACCCTGAAATGCACTAAATCGTACTCCTACTAATTCATGCTTATAGGATTCTTCCAGAATCACCGCGTTGGCTTGTAACTCAAGGTCGATTGGATGAGGCTCAAACCATCCTCGAAAAGTTTGGTGGCAAAAAGGATAAGCCTGTAGACAAGCAACAACTGAGATCCACGTTAGAGAAAGTCAGGAACGCTCAGCTTCAACAACAGAAAGTCCGTCAAAATTTTCACATCATCGATTTATTCAAGACACCGAGACTGCGACGTTTCAGTCTCGTCATAGGATTCAGTTGGTGAGCACATAGTTAATAATAAAGTAACATAAGGCCTGATGTGAAGTTTTATCGCGTGGCCGTGGGAAAACTTGGGAAAGAAAAATATGCTTGCAGCATATGCTCTATCAATCATGCATTTVTGACGAAATTGTTTCACGTGACTGCTATAACATATTGCATTAGACTCTTAGTCTCTTTTTAYATGCATGCAACATATTGTGCGGGGAACAATTTGGCTGTTTTCTATTGTATCGCTTCCTTTCCTGAATATAGAATTGATCACTTTGAATCATTGCCATGAAATTCAAAAGACAAAACATGAGCAAAACACGTTGGTTTAATGAACAATAGATACTAAAGAGAAATCCGTTCTTGAAGCAACCTCGTCCCCAGGGCCATCTCGGCCGACTCCTTTTCAAGATGGCGGTCGTCGGGGAGATGACCCTGGCGTTGGCTGGAAATCACGTGATCAAAACCTCCAAGATTTTTGGAGGTTTTGATCACGTGCCTTATCTATTCAAAATGGCGCTCGGAACGTAAACTCAACGGTTTCACAAATTGGGATAGCTGTGGTGGGTCGGTATTTGCTTTGTTTTGACAATTTATTTGTCCTGTCCTGTCCTGCCGTCATCGCCAGTGTTTAATACCCCTAGACCACCTACTTGAGTAGATCCAG